TTGAATCCAGCTCATAGAATTTTATCCTTTATTAATATAAAACAGTAACATGCATAAATTGTCTCAGTCAGTGTCTCAGTTCAGCAGCCAACCATTAATTTCAATATTTTTGTTCAAGTTTAAGTTCACAGAAATTTTCACTTCACAAATTGCTTCTATCTAGTTACTAAAGTTTAACTCCACAACTTAGAAACACTGAATTTACAACAGGAAGGCTCTTAACAAAATGGTGCTGGGCCTTGACTTTGTTATATAACAGCAGAGTGTCAGAGTCTGATCAGCAGGTTGCAGTGAGGTGAGACATTTTGAGAGCTGAACTTTGACCTGCACTTTGCTTTAGTCCTACAGTTTACCGAATCTTTCTCAGTGTTTCAATTAAAATCTGCTGATATTTCTACTTCTCTTAAATGATTCAGTGCATCCAGAGCTAATGTGATGCTTTACCCCCTTTGGATCCTGAATGCATCAAAACCACAGACAAAGCCTCTAAACCGATCCATCTCTTCTCCCGTCCATGAACAGCACCCTGATCCAGGACAGCATGGCCGAGCTCGCCATGTACAAGGATGACCTGCAGACCAAGCTGGCTCCCTACACTCAAGAGGCCGCAGATCGTCTGGGCAAAGACATGCAGCTCATGGCCGACAAACTCCGTGAACACATGACTGAGGCCCGAGAGCAGATGGACAAGTACGTCCAGGAGCTTCAGACCATGATGGAGCAGAACACCGACGACGTCAGGAGCAGAATCGCCACCTACACCCGTAAAATGAAGAAGCGCCTCAGCAAGGACACACAGGAGATCAAGAGGTGAGTGGGACAACCTCACCAGAAAAATAACAACATTTGGGTTTTTTTTAACAGTGTAGAAAAACAAAGGAACAGATAGTGAGTGGATTATTCAGGTGAAATAACCCAAACTCAGCTCAGATATTAGGATTTGATGCTTTTTAGCTGGTGAATTTAAAATGTAAGAAACATTTTGGTGTGAAAGAAGGAAATAATTTGACCTTGGTGGGAACTTTTACCACTTTTTTGTCTATTTTTCAGTTTGACTTAATGTCTTAATGATTAAGCTATTAATAAATGATAAATGAGAGTCGTATCTTAATGAAAAAGTATATAAACATATATTTTTCAGACACGTCACAGAGTATTTTGAGGAGATTCAGTCCCGCACCTCTGAGAACGTGGAGGACCTGAAGACTAGACTGGACCCTTACTTTGCTCAGGTGCGAGACAACGCCCAGACAAAGATCACCACCCTGAAGGACCTGCTGACGTCTCAGATGGAGAACATGAAGCTCAAGATTCAGAATACAGCTGAGGACATCAAAGATCGCCTTGAGGACACCACTGACAGCCTGCGATCCACCCTGAAGGGGAAGATGGAGGATGTGCGCGACATTTTTCAGTCCTGCGTGTCCTATTTCAGTGGAAGCCAGTAAACCCTACAACTAGCCTGGACTGCTCATTTATCCATCGCTTCATAAGTTAAAACCCTAATTCAACAGTTTAAAGTCATCAAATGTGTTTGTTCGACCACTCCCTGTGACTTTAATAAAAACCAGCTGCTCACATTTGAGTTCTCTGTAATGTCTTCAGACAGCTCATTTGCAGTCATCTCTCACATTCAAACACCTGATTTAAAAGAGTTACACTTTGTTGAGATGAACATCCTGAAAACAAGACAAAGACTACTTCCTGCAGAGCATATGGGCACTGGAAAATAAACGACTTTGTGTTTGAAAGTTATTTTTGCCTTTGACCGCTACGCTTTGTTAAAAGCGACATAGAAATTACACAGAACATTTTCCTACACATCAAATGGTATGCCATCACAAGCATATTATAGATTCTACAGTAGAAAATATACCATTTTTTTAAAATCCCATTATTATGATAACTAAAACCTGACATTTAAACTTGAATAATATCTTAGTTAACCGAAGTAAAAATATAAACTGCACTTCTGAAAGAAAAATGGGATCTTGAATTGTTTTGTGTGCTCATAAAATAAACCAAAAGACAAAACATATACAAATAATTAGTTTTCATTATCAGTTTTAATTAGCCTTTAGTGTATTTGCTTGTTTAGAATTCTGATGTCTACTGGACAGTGATTCAGCTGTCTTTAAAAAGGGTTTGTTTTAAATGTGCGTTCTCATCTAAGTTTTTGTACCTGGCCATGTTTTTATAAAAAAGAAACTAAATCAAGCAAATCCATTCAGGAAACTCACTGAAACTAAACTTCATTAAAAAAAATAAAAAAAATAAAACGTAAAAATAAAAACCTGGTTAGTAAATATAAATAACTGATCGTCACTTTAAGTTCAGGGAGCGTGGATATTTGAATAATTATCTGAAAGTTCTGCATCAGCTGTACACAAACACAAAGTACTTTGGGTAAACTTTCTACAAACTTATGTCATACACATAGATGGGCGTTACAGTAATCTGATTACTTTTTTCAAGTAACGAGTAGAGTAAGGGATTACTATTGCAAAAACGGTAATTCGATTACCGTTACTTTCCCGTTGGAACGCTGCGTTACTGCGGTACTAAAACCGTGATTTTTTTTGCGAGAATGTCTCATGACAATGACGTAATGGCGACAACAGCTGTACGCAGATCAACAATGGATAATATATCGAGTGCGGGAGAGAGTATGAGCGTGCAGCGTTTAAAGCGTGGAAGTACTGACCTTACTTTGAGTTTGATTCCATAAAAAGTGACAAAAACATTAGTGTCTGTTGTGCGTGGGAAGAAAACTTCTTTTTACAGCGAAAAAAACCCCTAAACAAGTACCGAGTGCACATCGACATAATGGGAAATTCACAGAGAAACTCGCGGATTCTTCAACTGACCGCTGCGGCACACCTGCACCAGAGCACAACTTCGCCTACCCCACTCCTGCTTTACAGGTGAAAATAGAGCAACAGGACCGCTAGTCTTTGATTTTATTTATTTTATGCTGTGTTTTACTTGCATCTATTTGAAAGAATAGAACACACAAAAAATTTTATGTGCTGGAATGTGGAGAAAATAGATTTAAATGTTAAACTAATTTCTTCAAGTCAGAGAATGTTAATCAGTAATTAGTTACTGATTACTTTTTTCAAGTAACTTGACCAACACTGGTCATACATTTAAAAACAAAACAATTAAACTTTAACCAGAAAGTTAGTTGTTTGACCGAAGTCAGAAATGGCAGAGGAATTTCTGAGGCTGGTGCACCTATCATATAATTTCTCTAGATCCTCTACTTTTATACTTGTCCATCAAATCATTCTCAAAGCAAACATCACATTACCTAAAAATGTATATAAACGTATTTATTACTCATAACTCATATTATTGTGTTCCCTATTGCATTATTTTAAAAAGCCTCAGATGAGTTTTAATATAAATATTTGTCACATACTCTTTGAGTGTTTGAAACCGTCTAATAAACAATCAAACACGCAATACTGTAGTACTGGATGGTTGGACTCCACGTGAATATAAGGCACAGTGAAACCAAACTATCATACTGAGGTCGCTGATCCATCCAATCACATTTCGTCTTACTCTCCTGTCAGCCAATGGCCTGCAGCCGTCGCCACTGCTAGCTCGTCTACTCTCAGTGCCGTCACTTCTAAACATGCCCATCATGTTCGTAGTTTTGGGCTTTATCTTCTGTCTTGCGTGTTGATTTTCGTCACGATGAGCAGCCTCTGCAGAGAGGTGATCACCCTCCAGCTCGGACATTACTCCAACTTTGCGGGAACTCACTGGTGGAATTTACAGGTGAGGAGTGCGCGTGCAAGGCTAACGCTAGGCTAGCTCGCTAACGTTAGCTGTGCATGTGTTGTCAAACTTGTGAGCTTGCTGTGAACCGTTAGCTCTGGTTAGTCTCAGTTTGACAGACTGGGACACGAAGTATGGTCAAACTGACCAGCATGGCATTGACCATAAACACAGGCATAACCGCCAACAGTTGTGTGGCTAAAGCTGCTGAATTAGCAGGTTAGCAAACTGTTACGAGCTTTTCATAAAAACACTGTTTTATCGTTACCTGAGCAGTTAGGTCCATAATTTGTTGGTCCAAGATTTAAAGCAAATATTATTATATATAGTCTCCCCATTTTCAAAGGCTCTAGCTCAATAAAAAAGTTTTCGTATTTTAAAACATAAGGTTTATTTTTAATAAATGGATAAAGATCCAAAATTGGACCTCATCAAATGTGTTGTTCCCCCCATCTCCTTTTAGGTGCTCTACATCAAGCTATTCCTTTAGCCACCCTCAGTTGCTGCTTGTTTGTCGGTCTCTCTGCTTTTTGTTTTGTCTTCAGTAGCTAAAAAAGTAAAATGCTGAATTGGGTTGAAATCAGGTGACTGACTTGGTCATGGAGGAATACTTAAGGTTGCTTTGCAGGATGATTTGGGGTCATTATTCTTTTACACTGTGGAGTGCTGTCTAATAAATTTTCCAGCTTTTGGCTCAACTGAGCAGAAAGTAGGGGCCTGTACACATCAGCATCCATCCTGTTACTTTTGTCAAGTCACATCATTAGCGAACACTCATGACCTGGTTCCACTGTCAGCCATATGTGCCCATGCAACAACACTGCCTCTCCCATGTTTGACAGATACTGTGGTATGCTTGGGATGACAATCAGTGTCTCTCCTTCTCCTTACTTTTCTCTTCCAGTGTTCTGGTTCAAGTTGATCTAGGTTTCATCTGTGCAAAGATTTCTTCATTTTTTCCCCCAGATTAAAAAGTCTAAACTGGTGTTCTTGTTCGACCATGTAATCAGTGGGTTGCACCTTACTGTCAACCTGTTGTATATACATTCATGAACGGGACTGTTGATTGTTAACAATGATACGTTTACTTTGTGAATTTCTGTAAGCATTGTTCGATTGCTTTGACCGTGCTAGCAGATAAACAGAGGTGCTCCTCTCTTTGTTTGCAGGATGCATCTTTATCGTACGATCCAGAGTCACCGCCAGGTGAGATCCAGAGCGATGTTGTGTTTCGTGAAGGACAGACTCTGGGCGGCCACGTCACCTACACACCACGACTCATTGCCATGGATCTCAAAGGTAACTTGCTTTTAGAAATACTGAAAACTTTGTGTCTTTACTTTGTCCAGTTTACTGACTGACTGAAATATAATATGTTAGCATTAATTTAGAGCATTTGTTATAAAGGTTTTTTTGGTGAATTCTGACAGTCTTTCTCTCATTCTGTAACAGGAAGTCTTCGTACTCTGCGACAGGAGGGAAGTTTGTATGATGCAGGCAAGGACACGTCTGCTGTCACGTGGTAAACAAGACCCTCTCTATTTGTTTTCTGCCTGGTATAACAAATTTTATTTGTGTTGTTTTCTGGTTTCAACACTGTCACGTTTTTATTATTATTATTTTTTGGTCTGTTTATTTGTTTGTTTACATATGGATATTTATCTACATTTAAATCTATTTATCTATAGGACAAATCAACAGTGTTGGGGAGTAACGGAATACATGTACCGCCGTTACGTATTTAAAATACAAAATATGAGTAACTGTATTCCGTTACAGTTACCGTTTAAAAA